CTCCAAACTTCTGACACTGCAAAGGAAAACAAGTCCTTAAAGATCCAGGTCTGGTTTAGGGTTTAAATCATCCACAGGTAGCTCACCAGTCTGATCAGCTGTCTGTCCAGCCACCTGAGGACATCCGGTCCCTCTTCCGTCTCTGCTCGGTACACGGCCAACCTTGCCATCAGAATGGCTGCTGCCTCCTGGTCAAAAGACGCTGCAATAGTCTGGATCTGGGTCTGGGCATCGGCCCAACTGAGAGAGAGAGGGAGGGAGGGAGAGGTATTTAGGATGGTGCTAGTAAACTACCGTAAATCTTGACAAAACCTTTATGATATTTTGTAAAGAGGAGTAAATATTGACATTCCACTGGCTGTAGCAGGGATTATTATTGATAGCGTGAGGGAAATTAGGATTTTGGGGGGTCATTACTGATAAGAGATTTCCTGAAAGCCACAATTTAGTATAAGAATAAAAACAGCAAAAGCAATGTCTTTCCTACATAAAGGAATAGAGCCAAAGTGTTGGAGTGATGTGTGTGTGTGTGTGTGTGTGTGTGTGTGTGTGTGTGTGTGTGTGTGTGTGTGTGTGTGTGTGTGTGTGTGTGTGTGTGTGTGTGTGTGTGTGTGTGTGTGTAACAATCAGGACTCAGAAATGAAATAAGGTAAATCCATTACAGTGTTTACAAACAGTTAAAACACCACGATGAGCAAATCTAAGGAATAATGTTGATTTGGTTTATTGTCTTTGGTTTCATGACGTTTTGCTCTGCAACAATCGTAGATGTTAAAAAAAAAAGTAAATGAAGTATCTGCTTATGAAAAAAACTGGCATGTTGATCTGCAGTTGTCTTCAAGTTAAACTTTATTAGTTAAACATTTTATTTTTTATTCATTTAACTACTAGTGTGAGTGGGGCGGATTAAAGATCTGCATCTTTTCATTCAAGTATTTGTAGGTTATGTTGCATTTGTTTTGTTACGGTTACTTTTTTGTAAGAAATAAACAAATAGTTAATAAATAAATAGAGAAAGAGTTTAGTTTGGAGAGATATTTTTGTCAATTTACACAATATGGGAGATTTACAGGATAAATACTAATAGAGGAGGAAGGGGAAAGGAGGGATTAAACACGGGAATTTATCAGCCTAATTTGGAGACTTTGACAGGTGTAGCAGATGTGACAGGTGTAGAAAATGTGACAGATGTAGCAGGGGCGTCAGGTGTAGCAGGTGTGACAGATGTAGCGGGTGTGACAGGTGTAGCAGATGTGACAGGTGTAGCAGATGTGACAGGTGTAGCATGTGTGACAGGTGTAGCAGATGTTACAGGTGTGACAGGTGTAGCAGATGTGACAAGTGTGACAGGTGTAGCAGGTGTGAAAGATGGAGCAGGAGCATCAGTTGTAGCAGATGTGACAGGTGTAGCAGGTGTGACAGGAGTAGCAGGTGTGACAGGTGTAGCAGGTGTGACAGGTGTAGCAGATGTGACAGGTGTGACAGGAGTAGCAGGTGTGACAGGTGTAGCAGGTGTGACAGGTGTAGCAGATGTGACAGGTGTGACAGGTGTAGCAGGTGTGACAGGTGTAGCAGGTGTGACAGGTGTAGCAGATGTGACAGGTGTAGCAGATGTGACAAGTGTGAAAGGTGTAGCAGGTATGACAGGAGTAGCAGGTGTGACAGGTGTAGCAGATGTGACAGGTGTGACAGTTGTAGCATGTGTGACAGGAGTAGCAGGTGTGACAGGTGTAGCAGGTGTGACAGATGTAGCAGGTTTGACAGGTGTAGCAGGAGCATCAGTTGTAGCAGATGTGACAGTTGTAGCAGATGTGACAGATGTAGCAGGTGTGACAGATGTAGCAGGTGTGACAGATGTAGCAGGTGTGACAGGTGTAGCAGGTGTGACAGATGTAGCAGGTGTGACAGGTGTAGCAGGAGCATCAGTTGTAGCAGATGTGACAGTTGTAGCAGATGTGACAGATGTAGCAGGTGTGACAGATGTAGCAGGTGTGACAGATGTAGCAGGTGTGACAGATGTAGCAGGAGCATCAGTTGTAGCAGGTGTGACAGGTGTAGCAGATGTGACAGATGTAGCAGGTGTGACAGATGTAGCAGGTGTGACAGATGTAGCAGGAGCATCAGTTGTAGCAGATGTGACAGTTGTAGCAGATGTGACAGGTGTAGCAGATGTGACAGATGTGACAGGTGTAGCAGATGTGACAGGTGTAGCAGATGTGACAGGTGTAGCAGATGTGACAGGTGTAGCAGATGTGACAGGTGTAGCAGATGTGACAGGTGTAGCAGGAGTGCTGTCGTACTTCCTGGCAGTGGTGGTGACCCGGATGCGTCTCTGTCCTGATGAATGCTGGTACTGAGTGACAAACTGAATGGCTCCGCGACCGCCCTGAGGGATGGGAGCGTTGTGCTGCAGAGAAAACAAACAGGGTTAGGGTTATTATGTAGGTTCACTTTTTCAAACTCTGCTCCTGTCCTCAACCACTACTCTCCGATTGAATTAATTCAACCGTTAACTTTGTGTCTTCTCAAACCCCCAGTGAGTGGTGGCACATGGCTGCTCACACTGATCCAAGGTCTGTTGGAGGTTTCTTTCTGTTAAGAGAGTTTTCCTCTCCACTGTTGCTGCATGCTTGTTGAATATGGGGAATGGGTTGCTGTAAAGTCTCTGACACATATCAGTGACTTGATGCAATCTGCTGGATTTCCTCAGAAAGTAAACTTTTAACTTATTAGAATAATGAACTAAACTCAATGCACGTGATAAGTAGGTTCTATTGGAACGTTTGCTTTGTAACATGCCTTGAGATGATTCTTGTTGTGAATTGGTGTTATTTAAATAAACGGAACCAAATTTCAGTCCTGTTTTACAGTGACGTGCTCAATCACAATGAAGTTGTGCTAAATATGATGTTTATCTCTGAAGTAGTTTACATATCAATAAAAACATGAGGTTGAGTATCCGGTGTCTAGAAAAAGCTGTGGAAGACGCTGGATCACTTGTGTGTGTTTATCTTTCTGGATGGTTTGGGTAAATGACCTCACTCCTCACCTTCAGGTAAACAGAGCTTCATTATCGTTGGTCTGCATGACTTATTCGGAAGCTTCAGACTGACCTTTGACCCTGTTCAGACCTGGTGTTGTGATCTCATGTTACAGGTGTCTAGTGATGCGTTCTGGACACCTTAGGAGCAGGTCTCAGGGCCTGAGACTCCTAATATCCAAGTTCAGTTACCTGGTTCACAACTTCAAAGTAAAGAGCCAGAGTGGTGCTTGGATCCAAACCACAGATCTTCCACTGGCAGGTTCCTCCTGTCCCAATTTCCTGAAATGCAAAGTTATACTTAATATAAGTTTGATTTGAGACAGTTTCAAATGATTTTTCAGATTCCAGCAGGAAAATCACTCTGCAAACACTGATTAGACTGTCTGTATGATTAGAGACTACACAGAACAGCTTTAGCACTTCCTCTAATCACAGACAGCAGCCAACTATTGCAGCTTTAGTGCACAACTAGCAAAAGTATTGTTCTGTTTCGTTCCCTCCAGACTGCCAGTGGCAGTAACCAGAGTGGATGTATCTCCTCGCGCTCTGCGCAGGTCGAGTACTAATGTAAACAAAGTCACGCATGTGACACGTAGCGCACCTGGTCGCGAGTCTATAAATTACGCGCCGATAGCTACGTTCGGGTCTCCCGGGATCTTCTCGCCCGAGAAATTCCGAGTGACCCCTGTGACAATCAGTCATCCAGGAACTCACAGAACCATAGTTACACCGTAACTTCCGTTATAAAGATGGCTGCCCAGAGATGTGTCACATTTGTGAAGGTGATTCTATTAACTTTGACCGTTACATCCTCAACTTCCTGCTTTGAGTACAAGTTAGCTACATCTGCTTCAGATGCCTTTATTACAACAAATGTTATCTAAATAAACAGAGAGAAAACAGAGGCTGTTCTCTTTGATCAAAAACCTAATTTTATGTCTTCACTGTGTATTCATCTCAAGACACCAGCCTGGGGGTTAAACTGGACTCAGACCTCTCTATATACCTCTGAATTGTGTGTACTGAAACTCTAATTTCCCTCTGGGATTAATAAAGTATCTTTGATTTGATTTGATCAACTCAAATAAATGCCAGTGTCAAATCATGCTTCAGCGCATCGTATGTCTAAAACAAATACTTAAAATACCTCATCTAGAATTAGCTTTCATTACATCCAAACTGGACTGTGCCAACTTTCTTTTTCTTGGGTGTAAATACGTGCTCTCTGGACTGTCTGCAGAAAGTCTCAAATGCAGCAGCTCGTTTTCTCATAAACACAAATAGACGCTCGCACATCACCCATTTTAACAGATTTACACTGACTTCCTGTTTTTATAGGATTAGGTTTAGCACCCTCCTTTATAAAGTTGGTTTTTTTTATATGTTTTACATCCTGGTTATCTCTGTGTTTACTGGATTGTAGTTTTGCGTTCTTAACTCCTTTGTTCAGCACCTTGGTCAGCTGCCATGCTGTTGTGTCACTATGGTGCTTTATAAATAAACCTGATTTCCGGAACTGCGCTGCTCTGGGTGGCTGCATGCTGGAGTAGCTCTGTTGACTATCTTTTAGAGGATTTTACTGCAATTTTTTCACTTTTTCACATTTTGAGCATTTGTTGTGATGTGTAACCACGGTAACAAGCTGGTTTACAATCAGGGGCAGCTGATTAACATTAGAAAGGTTGAAATAATACCTCAACTGAGGCCACAAATCCCAAATGAGCTAAAACCATCTCATCGATCATAATGGGCAATGATAAATCAGGTGCTGGTCAGCATAAGAAGCAGGGACCTGAAAAGGCTCAACAGCCTAATAAAACCGGCTGGTTCTGTTCTGGGGACGACTGTGGAACCACTGGAGGAGATAATGCAAAGAAGGATTCTCCAGAGAATCAAGAAAATGATGGACAACCCTGAGCTTTCTCTTCACAAGACTGTCCGACAACGGAAGAGTGTCTTCAGTCAGAGGCGTCTTCAGTTTTGCTGCAACACTGACCGCTACTGGAGATCCTTCCTGCCAACAGCCATTGTAATATACAATAACTCTTTGATGACTTGATTATTATTATTATTATTCTGAGCTACTACAGCAATCAATTTCCCTCTGGGATTAATAAAGTATTTTTGAATTTAATTGATTTAAAGGTGTGGGTGACTGAAAAATCATTTTTAATGATTATTTCTGAATATAATTGGTCCCTCTGAGTTTGTCATGCAGGCTGAACACGAAAATAGTCTCCTACACCCATCTCCTGCATTAGCTTCTGATAGAAAACTCTAGGACTAGAAAATCCTGACAGATCTACATCACACTTTCATCTGCTGACTAAAGCGTAATTATTCTCTGGAATCAGGTGTGTTGGAGCAGTTGTTCAACACCAACTCTGTCAGTCTAAAATCCCTCAGGTGTGTAGATGTTAGTGTGTTGCAGAGTGGATGTGACCCCTACGTTCTCTGATACACAGGGCCCTTTGGTGCTCAGGGACACACAGGGACCAATCGCTCCACAGACTTTGATTTCCCTGGACGTCTGGAAAAAAAAAAAAAAAAACAACAAGCAGGCTTCCTTAACAGCTGAGATGAAAGCAAGGCGTCATTTCCTGTGTGTCTCTTATTCCCACCTTGACCTCCAGTGTGGCAGCAAACGCCATCTTGAAGGAACCTTGTACATCTTTGGTGAAAACTCTTTGGAAGGTTTGCTTAAACAGAGATGTGTTGAAGGAGTCGGCCATCACCATGTACCCTCTACCAGACAGAGACACAAAAGTCCCGTCAGACCACAACATTAATACATTACACACCAAACAAGAGACTTTAGTTCTGAATTCAAGCTGTTCAAATGCAGAGACGTTTGCTTCTTGGAAGCCTCACATCACGGCAGAACCCAGAACGTGTGTGTATCTGTGTACCCTGTGTAATTGGGGCAGCATTTCATCTCCAGGAGGCCCGTCTGATCGAGAGCACAGGCGTATATGTCGATGATGTGACCGTTTGTGGATGCTCTGTTGGCGAGAGCCTCAAAATGCTGCAACACAGATCAACACAGACAGTTATTCACGCTAAATCAGATCCCGAGGCTGGTTTTAGCCGCTGGAGATGCACCACACAACCACACCATCAATGTGAATGTTCTCTCAAACGCACACAAGTCAAAGGTGGATTCACTGAGCTTCAAAGTCAAGCAGTAGAACAAAAGATGGTTTAACGTTGGGTTTTATACATATCTGCTCACCAACAGGCCGGTTTTGCCCTGATGGGTACAAAAAATCCTTAAAATCCCCAAAAAGTGGAAATAAATGAAAAATCAAGTACCAAAGCTTCTACAACAAGAGCGTTTGTCTAAAGACATATAATCCTTCACTTCTGCTTCATCTTCCCTTTGAAGCTTAAGCAACAAGTTTTTATTGGTGTCGTTTGACTCTTGGACTAGACGTTACCCCCACCCCACAGAAACAGCTGCAAAAAGCTCCTAAAGGTTCCCGAATCTTTATTGTTCTCACTTACTTTGGTAGCTTTCTTCATGAACTTGGCATTGTCTTTCTCAATGTCATGCCAGGACCTGATGGGGGTCTTCAACTCGTCCCCCACCACCATGCCTGGCCCTTGAGTTGCTGGGCCCCCAATGAAGGTCATAATGCGGGCACCGGTGTTGGAGAAGGTGCACTGTGGGTAAAACGTTTCAGTCAGACTCCGTTTAGCGTTCTCATGCCGGGCAGTGATGCTTAAACCCTCACCTCCAGAAGTCCCACTGCGATGGACATGGCTACCCCCAGAGAGCGTAACGGCCTCTTGCCCTGCGTGACGGGCCAGGGGTCTCGCTGAAGCTCACTCAGAAGATCTGTGAGGTTCATGTCGATCTTCTGCACAGGCTGGAGAAACCTGGAGGGAAATTCATGACGAGGAACGTCAACGCTACAGAACACACCTACAGGTGGAGCTAGAAAAATGAAAATATGGTGCAAAAGTTCATTTATTTCAGTCATTTAACTTAAAAGGTGAAGCTCATTTACGAGACAGACTCATTTTTTGCAAATCCAGATATTTCAGCCTTTTCTTGTTATAACTGATGATTGTGGCTCACAGCTGAGGAAAACCCCACATTCAGAACCTCAAAGTGTCACACTGTGATCAGCCAACAAACTCAGAACACCTGAAGAGGGTTCCCGACCCTTTAGATGGTTTCTCAGTCTAAGGTGGATTACTACATAAACTTTCACACCAGATTCTCATTTCTCCAGTTTCACCTGTAGAAAACAATGTGTCCTCCTGAGATTACCTGTTGGACAGAGGCTGCTGAGGAGTCTGAGGGCCTCGTCCCTGAGCACCAGAAGATTTAGTAAGGCCGAGCATCTCCTGCAAAAAAACAACCCACCAAACCCTGATTATTACTGCTCCTATCCTCTGTGGAGGACAGTTGCTGAGAGACAGGACAGGTAAGAGGGACTCTGATTATTAGACACTCATCTACCTGCAGCTGTTTGGCATTCAAATCTTTGGTCCCCCGAAAGACGTAGCTTTTTGAAATCCCCTCGCAGCCCAGCTCATGGACCTGAACCATGCGTCCAAAGGTAATGAGTCCAACCAGAGCAGTTGGGGGCAAGAGAGACAAGGACATCTGCAGGGACTCCTTTAGAGCCTGCAGGTCCTCATCCTCCATGCATGTGTCCACTAAATACAGAAAGACCAGTGGCATCTGAGGGCCCCGCTGGTTAGGAAGAGGAGAGTGGGTTAGACCTCTAGGAACAAGGGGTCAACGTTACGGTCTTACCGTGTCCTAGTCTCACCTGGACAACATACTCAATAGTAGAAAAATGAGGCAGCAGCTCAGCGGGCTGGTTCACCTCCGATATCCCAGCGTAGGATGGAGGGAACTGGACAAGACAGATGGAGTTAGTGTGTCTGCAACATGGTCTCCCATCCAGCCAGTGGAGGACACGCCACTCACCTGGTTTCTCTGGTAGCAGAAGTTACATGCCCACAGCTTGGCTCTGTAGTCCACCTGGCTGAACCACAGAGGCAGACAGAAATAAGACCAACAGCTAGTGAACTGGTGGGAGCTGGACAACAACGAGAGGAGTGACGCCTACCAGAGCGGATTGAGAACTGCACGGCACGTGGCTCGGCTGCAGAGAACTGGTTCATACTGAATTGGGGGGAGGTCGGTTCTCTCCTTCAGCGGTGTGAGGAGAGAAGCCACTGGTACCACCATTCGGGTGGCCTCCAACCGGCTGGAAGGCCACACGTTCCAGCTGAACCGAACACCATCACGCTCCTCATTTTGGGCAATGTATTCTGAGAAGGTGGCCATGACAGAACAGGTGGGTGCGCCACAGGTGTCACTCTGTCAGGTGAAAGCTTTATGAGAGAGAGAGAGAGAGAGAGGAGAGGGGACGTCAGAGAGCAACAGAACAATAGCAAACACTAATCGTCTGGTAATGCCTGGACCACACCGCGTGCTTTCGGCTATCCTAGACAAGTCCCTCATCTTGAACAGACTAGCCTCCAACTGTCTCCAAGCAGTGTCTGAAGATCTATGACCCTGCTCTGTAATCGACCAATGAAAATACCCCCAGGGGACGACGCGAACAGCTGGTGATGAGAGGACAACACGAGTGAAATTAGCACCAGTGGAGGCTACACTCAGGAGCACGTGGACTTTTCTGGAGATCAGTTTAGAGTCTAATAAAAAGTGTTAACAGTGGTTCTGTTTTCTCTTTTCGTCGTTGTCTTGGGTCTCCATCAGCTTTTAGTGACAGACGCTTTCCGGCGAAGACGCTCGTTAGCGTGTTCTGCTACAGCGGTCCACCTCTCTAGAGTCCTCACAGTGTGACAAGAACCAGTCCTGTGCTACAGCTGAAAACGCAGTGTGGTCCAGGCTAAGAGTGGTGATTCTTTACAGAGGAGAACCCATAGAGTCAAAATGTTAAATCACTCAAATGTTTGCTACACATTCCGTCAATCAAACTGAAGCATGATGTTTTTTTTTAACAAATCTAATAGAGCTCTTCACCCATCTGGCCAATTGGGTGGGTTCTCATAGGTCAGACGCCCGCCCCCGAGGCGGACGGCACTTCACTTTGATGGTTAGCAAACACCTGAGTTAGCTTTGTTCTGCTCTTTCTGCCGATTCTGCTTTTCCCGGGATTCACAGATTGCTTTTTCGTGTTCATTTTTTTTCCTTTCCTCGCATCTTTAGCTTTTTTCATTTTTAGGAATTTTTTGCCATTTTTTGAGTTACGTTTTTATTTATTGCAAGTAATATCGTCATCGCAGTATCAATCATCGTTATCGCAGGTTTTCCTAATATGGTGCAGCCCTAATGCAAAGGTGAGTAGGACGGTGAAGGGCAAAAGAAAGGAACCGTTAGAAGTGTGTGTGTGTGTGTGTGTGTGTGTGTGTGTGTGTGTCACTTAAAATAGGTGAATTAAGATTTGGCTGGATGGGGTGGTGTAAGGGGAGCACCAGTATCTCCTGATGTGGCTGACAACAAATGGAGCAGTAGGATTCATGACCAAGTGGAAGATGCAACAGCTGGAACTGGATTCCCAGTTGTTTCCTGCACACCTCCTGGTTTTTTCTCACCTCGACTCTGAGCTGTTTTAGTAAATTCCTCAATAACGCCCTTTTACTTCAGGTCAGCGGTGATCCAGGGTTCCTTACTGGGGAAGCACCTCGCTGATGACGTACATATAATCAGTCACACACTCACTGATGTCATCTCCATGTGGCTCATGGAGAACATCCCTGCAGCTCAAGGTGACCACCTCCTCACAGTCCTTCTGGCCCATGTTGGGCCGCCTTGACTGCTGCTTTTAGAACACTTGGTGGTGCTGATTAGATTAATGACGGAATAAACAACATTTAAATGTCTAATAAACCCAGTTTGTAATGAAAAACTCTTGAAACACAAATGAACCCGTTTCTGGTTTTGATGTTTCGTAACTGAAGTATAAAAACGATCATTAATGTTGTGGTTATAACTAAACTACAGTAAACAAATAAACAGCTACACAAAACCCGCTAGTTTACAGGAAGGAAACTAATCGTTTAGAGTGGCTGGTTAATCCAGTTGTTAGCTGCAGTCCGAGTCTGGGTGGTCCGGGGGGCTCTGGACCTGGTGGCAGGGTCCAGGTCTCCTCAGAGTCCAGGTCCAGGTCTCTACTGGACAGATGCTCACAGACACCTGGTCCTGTCTGGTGTCCAGTCTTACCTGGACGTGACCACAAGACTTCTCCTAGTGAGCCCACAGCCTTTAACGTGAGATGCAGTCATGCTGCGTCATGAAGACAAACTGTTGAACTTCTTTACGAACTGTACCGTCGCCACGTTTGTCTGGCTCTGCTTGTTTATCGCTAACTGTTCGCTCATGTTCCACGAACTAAACGCAGCTTCGCTAATGTCACGCAGGTCGTGACTCCAGAGCACACACCTGACATAGTCCAGGTGGAGCTGCGGGTCCGGCGGACACACCTGAGGATCATACAGGTAAATACTCACAGCCACTCCGAAGCTCCGAGCAGGGCGCAGCTCTGGTGACAACGAAGCAAAACAACATGGCGTCCGCCGGCGCCACGTCAAGACGTGAAGCAGGAAAAAGGCAGAGGTCTCACTCTGAGCGATAAACGAGAGCTCTTTTTGATCAACACCATCTTTGAACTGTTCAGGCACCATTCAATTTATCAGTAAAAAAAATGCACCAGGCATGCTGGGAAGAGGATCTTTAAAATATGAACGTTCATTTAACTCTGAAGGAAGCTTTATTTGGCAAGGGCAAACGTGAAAAGGTAACACTGAGAGATAATCATGATGCAAAATCCTTGTTTCTCAGTGCAGTGGGTCTCAGTCTTTAAACCAGGGGTGTCAAACTCATTTTAGCTCAGGGGCCACATTGAGGGAAATCTAGTCCCAAGTGGGCCGGACCGGTAAATTAAAAACAACTTCAGATTGTTTTCTTTGTTTTAATACAATCAATATAAAACAAGGGTGAAGCCTGAGGACAGTGTATCCAAAATAGTACAAGTACAACACCTGAAGTGTACTTGAAATTTTGAAGAAAAAAAATCAATAAATTAAAAAAACATTCCTTAGTGATTCAAAGAGCTTACAGATCACATGGCTAGATCAGTTTTATGCAGCACTTAAAGTATATTTGACTCATTTTACATTACATCTTTTAGCTTTCACCAGCACATCAATATCAGAAGTCACATGGCTACCACTCAGGAGTGGCAGCCAACTTCAGGTTGTGATTCAAGTTCTTGTGTGAGCCTTGAGCGCAGCTTTGTTTTATTTATACTCATTACAGAGAAAACTTGCTCACAAAGATAAGTTTATTTTCACTCTACATTGTAACGTATGAAAATAAAGTTTACACAACCATCTCACGGGCCGGATTTAACCCACTTGCGGGCTGGATCCGGCCCGTGGGCCGCATCTTTGACACCCCTGCTTTAAAGTAACCTTCTTTACCATCACCTGCTACTGGATAGACTGAGAGACTAGGTAGGCCTATCAGGATCTGCTCTGGAGTGGTTGTCCTCTTAACTGTCTGAGCATTTCTTCTCTGTGGTTCTCTCCAAGTTTCGGTCCTCCACCACCTCCCTCACTCATGGTGTCCCACAAGGCTCTGTGCTGGGGCCTCTACTCTTCCTCCTCTATCTGCTTCCTCTTCAGCACATTCTGGGCTCCTTTTAAGGAGTCTCCTACCATCTTTATGCAGATGACATCCAACTGCACATCTCCTTTAAGCTCCATGAGAGGTGTAAGCTGCAGCTGTTACACACCTGCTTAGACTCTATTAAAACCTGGATGGCTGGGAAGTTTCTACAGCTGAATGAAGATAAGACTGAGATCCTCATCTGTGCCCCAGACAAGCTGGTTCCCAAAGTCAGATTCTCTTGATCAGCTTGCTTCTCACACCAAACCCTCTGTCAGGAATCTTGGTGTGACCTTTGACCCAGCCCTCACCCTGGATTCTCATGTCAGTTCTTTGTTCACTCTTCCTTCTTCCATCTCAGGAATATCCTCACGCTTAGACTATTGCAACTGGCTTTTCACTTATCTGAGCAAAACCTCCCTGAACCGTCTGCAGGTGGTTCAGAATACCTGTGCTAGGCTTCAAATTGTCAAAGTACACCCACATCACCCTGCAGGGTTCATTTCAAGATCCTGGTTTCTAGGGCCTTTCACGGACAAGCACCATCATACATTGGTGATCTTCTCAGTCCCCGCACCCTCACCATGTCCCTGAGGTCCAGTGATCAAAGTCTGCAGGTAACAGATCATTTGCTGCTGTGGCTGCCAGACTCTGGAACTCTCTCCCCGAGCCTGATCTGTGGACTCAGTGGTCTCTTTTAAAAAGTAGCTGAAAACCATGGACTGTATATACCAAAACTCTAAAAACTCATCTGTTCAGGCTGGCTTTGGTGTGACCTATTGATTCATCACTACCTTCTCT